GCAGCCGCACACCTTTAGTTAATCTGCCAAAAAGGCCACATTATTGACCCGAAAGTACACAAAAAGCACACTTCAGATACTCAAGGTCCTTGAGATGCTTCACGCTTTGAAATTTCACCGATATCTGTTACGGTTCTTCAACAAAACTTTCACATGTAACAGGTTTATCTCTCATTCAGAACAATGTAAATGCTCTCCTCTCACTGATTACTGCACGTTGACACGTCGTTAGCTCAAATATAAACACCTGTGTCATGGAACACGATGATGTCATAACTCCAACTGACATGCTCAGAGCAGCAGACTTCAGATAATGGTTAATGGTCCTGCCCTCAACAGCTCTACGTCAATTATGGGGTGTCATCATATGCCATTTCCATGGAAGATCAAGAGAAGAGAGAGAGGGCGATAGAAGAGTGAGAGGGCGATCAAGAGAAGAGAGAGAGGGCGATCAAGAGGAGAGAGAGAGGGCGATCAAGAGAAGAGACAGAGGGCGATCAAGAGAAGAGAGAGAGGGTGATAGAAGAGTGAGAGGGTGATCAAGAGAAGAGAGAGAGGGCGATAGAAGAGTGAGAGGGCGATCAAGAGAAGAGTGAGAGGGTGATCAAGAGAAGAGAGAGAGGACGATCAAGAGAAGAGAGAGGGCGATCAAGAGAAGAGAGAGAGGGCAAGCAAGAGAAGAGAGAGAGAAGAGAGAGAGGGCGATCAAGAGAAGAGAGAGAGGGCGATCAAGAGAAGAGAGAGAGGGCGATAGAAGATAGAGAGGGTGATCAAGAGAAGAGAGAGAGTAATGTAACCTCTTAATGAAATGTATAACCAGCCGTGAAGACATCTACGGGACAGTTTTGAGATTTCTTCAAATGTCGTTGCCATGGCAACACAATGCTCACCATGAAACACGGTTCTCTCATAACTTCAGTGAAAATGCTCGAAATGCGCATGATGTGTGTGTGTGCTCTGCTCAGCTCCGCTCTGTGTGTGTGTGTTCGGTGTGTTTGTGTCTGTCCGACCACGGCATTTTCTTTCAAATGACCATGAACAGTCATTTACACACATCTGGCCAACGCCATAGGTATATGTGGGTGTTCCCAAATTAAAGAAATTAGTTTAATCTTAATCTCGACACACACACACACACACACACACACACACACACACACACACACACCTATCATGCGCCCTGGTACATACACTATTCCGTTGTATTTGGCTTTGATGCAATATTTCTTTGTGCACATACACAGTTAGGATAACAATGACACAGTGTCTTAGGAAAAGCACCTAAGACAGGAGAAATCGTCAGGGCAGGAGGCTTAACATTTTGATGTAAAATGTTTGTGTTGTACTCCTGTTTTCACTTTAGAGCCCTTTAAAACTAGGGTTATAATTTCAGAGGCCCATTTTCCATTGTTGTTAATGTTGAAAATAAAACTCAACTTTTCATAACCACAGTATTTTAACTGATTTAAATGCGGAAACTGGGGTTATTCATCAGAATTTCGTATGACGTGTGACTTGCTTGACCTGAGCAAAGACTTGACTTGACTTGCTTGACTCTCACCAAAGTGACTTGGGACTTGCTTGAGACTTGTAGGTCAAGACTTGAGACTTGCTCATGACTTGCACATGTATGACTTACTCCCACCTCTGGTACCCAGCACTCGGCTGGTGAACACAGAGCCAGCAACTCTACATTTTCTGTGGATTTAAAGTCCTATATCTTAGTTATTATTTTCATCTATTTATAATCTTCGAAGTGCAGAACACAAGCATAATAGCCATGTCTACAACATTGAGACTGTTTTCATTATCTGCCGCATTAATCATTAATTGTCTTGTCCTAAAAATGTGAATACAAACATTTAGTTATCGTCCCTACGACTAGGGATGGTGCAGTGTCCCACAAAGCATCTTACATTACAAACTATCTAGGGTTAGTATAATTCCATCCTCATACAGTCAACATCATCTACTCGTAGTTTACAGATTGGCCTGAAAGGTGCAGCCCCAACAGGAGCCTCCAAAAGCCTAGGTTTGACCGGTATACTAAAGATGCACTGATCTATTATGTTATTCTTGAGCGTGGCCTGGATATGATAGTGAATGTAAATCATTACTAATGTCCTCCCGACAATGCCTACGTTGATTACTTAAAAATAATTAGCCTGTTAGGTTGTCGCCCTCACACTGTTCAACAGTTAGCCTACTTTAGTTATCTGGGACAATGGCAAAAGCCTATAAATGGACACAGATGTGCTGAATGTCGATGATATCATCGTTAACAAAAGAACATCAGATAAAAAGTGCTTGTTGTATTGTCAGAGTTGTGTATCAAAGTTCATTAAAAAAAATAATCAAAAGATCCCTCTATTTTTGAGATTGCTAGGTCTTCTTCTCATTTTTGCCAACTTTTGGATTTTCATGCAAGATTTCATGCTGCACAAATATACTATGTTAGTTTAGAGTTTCTGATCATTTGGCTAAATAAATGTTTATCTACCTTTTTTTTAATTCTGAAGATGTACCTTCCCTCGCTGCAATCCAAACCACCAATAAGCTTCATGCAAATGCAGAAAAATGCAAATGTACATTTTTTGACTGACTTTCAGAGCCAGAACTTCTATTATCATTGGAAAGAGGGTGAATGTTTTCTTGTGAACAGGGACTGTTCTTTTATTTGAAGCCAATGGGCTTGGAGCTGAGAGTCACAAGGAGTAACACAAGATTGTTTTTTTGTTCTATTCATGGGATTTGTGGAAAGTGAGAAAAATTAAGTAGAATAATGTCAGCCTTTTCTTTCTTTAAGACAGACTTCTTAACTTATTTGGAGTTCCTAAATGTGCAAATTGATAACCAAAAGTTGAGTGTTTCCTTTTGCTTCCCCTTCACCTACATTTTTCAAAGGTAGTAAAAGTGTCTTGAGTAGAGTAAAGAAGCCAGAGGCGGCAGGCAGGTGGAGAGGAGAGGCTGTGATGTAGTCTGTGTATGCCGGTCCAACGCCATTACCAAAGTGTGTACACACACATTAGCATAAAACAGCTTTGCATATGATCTGAGCGCTTTCCAAGATGCTGCACACAGAGAGGAGTTGAGAGGGAAGAAAATAATGCTCTTGCTGTTTTGCAAGCCCGCAACGATCACATGCTGTCGACAGCACCTCACATAACATCCCCCCGCCACCCCCCACACCCCACACCCATCCTGCATCGTCCTATAATCCCTGTCAACACACACTTATACACACATAGAGCAGATTCTTCAGCTCTCATCTCTCAGGACTCTTATTCTAGTGCTGTTCTGGGGCTGATCCAAACAGGAAACATTAAACAGTGCCCCATCTTTCACCAGCGGGATGAACTGGGCTGACTGTGAGCCAAGTCTTATCACACAAAATTATGCAAAATCACAAAGAGCAATGTAAAGAGAATGGAGAAGGTAAGGACAAAAGCACAATGTAAAGGCCTAGGCCATCTTCTGAATCATATGCACTCTGTAATTCAAAAGGATTGTACATCTGCAGAGTGCAAGCTTTGATAACAACCTTATCTGCTCCATCTAATACTTTACATTGTTGGCATGAAAATGTTCACTGAAAAGTCAATCAGAAGCTTATCATCAACAATGAGTCCACTAAACGTTTCTTTCACCCTGAGGTGAACTGCTGATAACCAAGTCTTTACGCTGTCCCATTCAGCTTCACCCTATGGTTTTATTGTTTAATATATAGAGGTTATGATTTCAGGCCATTCAAACCGTGTCCATGCTGTTCTTCAAGCAAAGGACAGAGTACCATGCGTGAGGAACTCTCATCAATGGAGGAGTTCAATGCAAACACTTCTTTGAAGCAAAGCACCTGGAGACAGTTCTAACATACTGGTTAGTCCACTGCTAACTATGCTAACTCCACATTAGGGTGAAAGACCCTTGAAGGTTACTTTTACCAATTGACATCCTTGTGATTATTTTGTATTTTATTATTATTTTCTACCAAATGAATTGCCTTTTTGAAGGCGTTAGCATACTCAAAAGCGGAGATTTATATATATTTATATATCCAGTCTCTGATTGTGTTACGTTATTATGAGAGTGCTCTCATACTTGTTTGATTCTGAAATTGTATATATTTATATAAATGTCCGCATCTGTAGCCTGTTATTGTCTCATTATACCGCACTGTGAATGAATTAAAAGTAAATATATAAGTCGTCATGAACACATCTGTCCATCAGACAGAGGGCTGCTGTGCCTCCTGTCATCATTAATGGACGTCTCTTTAAAATGACCGCTCAGAGGAGAGGAGTTCTCATTTCTCTAACCGCCTGCTGCTTCCCCTCCTCTCTCCTCGGTTCCCCTCCTCGACTCCTCCGCTCGCATCTCCTGTGGGCGCTACTAAGTCACGAGGTTAGGAGTCGAGGATAGGAGTCGAGGAGGGGAAATTTGAGAATTGAGAAGCCTTTAATGTCGTTTTTATGCATATTTTCACCATTATTTTTTCTGATATTTTTACATACTACACTCAAAAAACTAAATCATTGGCTTTGTAGATATCACTATAATAAAAAGCTATATTACCTTAATAAAATCTCTAAATATCACCAAAGTAATTGTTTGAGTCGGACATACCAAAATAAATGCTTACAAATCCAACAGTTAATTTTGTCTTAAATTATTACTATCATTTAAGTTGATGACACGAAAATAAATGAGTATTTGACTAACAAATTATATTTTTAAGATATCCTTAATATCTTTGGCAAATTTCAGTCAAAATATTTGAGAATTGGCTAATTATACTGATCAGTTTCAGGAACAGCAATTATTACTCATTCCAAATCAATATTCTTCATCTTTAACAACAATTTAAGAAATTGAGTAAATTACACTAAAACGTCATGAGTGGACCCCATTAACAATCGCGCGCAAATGCAGTGTGCTCATGGGAAATCTACTTTTCTATCTGCGCCACATGTGGCAACCGCAACAAGCAAGGAAACACCACAACGAGAACCACCAGGAAAACTCCCTGCAAATCCTGGTAAGTAGCCAGCTAGCAAAAGTTAATGAAATATTGACCCTGACTTTGTGCATATACAACTTTATGGTGTGTAATTATCTAAATACTGTCACACTTGCAGCCATGCTGTCATAGGTCTAGCTAGTTCTGTCCGCTTCTACACACGCATGGTGGACACAGTCAACCAGGTGAAGTGAAGCTAACGTTTTACTCAAGTAAAAAGTAGAAACATTAGCACCTGCTTTGTCCGCAGTTGTTGTCTTAAGTACCTAATCAACCAGCTGTCTGTATGTAGCATAGTTAGCTGTTTGTTTTAAGCCCCTTTTACACTGTTATTCAGAAATGCTGTAGTAAAGAAGATCCGCCATTACGTCGACTTTTTAATACTTAACCAGACAATGCCAGCATAATGCTGCCACAGTGTGTGATATTAGACAGCATGCCGGCCTGACGTGTAACACAACAGCGCCGGCGAATATGTGTGTCTGCATGTCCCGCCATGCCGGAATAACGGAGCAACAGTCTCGCCTTGAACAGGCTGTGAAGGGGGCTTTGCCGCCACACCCGGTTACTAAGCAACGCTTATCGTTTAGGTATCCCTGATAAGGAGGCAGTCATATCATTAACTAAAACTAGCTAGATCTGATCGATATGGACATAAACACGAGTGAAGTATAATCGGGAGAGTGATCAGGTTCTGCAAACTGAGACACGCAGCTCTGCATGATCACCTGCAGCTCTGCCGCTGTGAGGGGACCGGTGAGCAGAGCACACGCTTCAAGTTAGACCTAACACATTTAGCAATCTTATCTACCTCTGGAAGTAACCGAACTAGTTATAAATATGTTTATTCTTTACTTTTGGGTCACTCATTACTGGATTAGCGAGCTGCATGAGACTAAACTGACGGGCTGTCAGGAGAGGGAGAGAGGAAAAGAGAGCACCCTGTTTATTTCTCCCGTGTTATTATCCAAAGTTACTGTACATTTTTGAATAATGTAGTTAATCTACTATTAGTTGTTTGTGTAAATGTATTACTTATATTGTTGATTTTTGTAGAAGCGCCGATAAAAGTATGGATAATACAAAGATAAATGCACCTTGTTTGTGTAAGGTGGCTATTAGTTTATTTGGGTGATTACTGTATCGTGCGAGTGATTTCAGATAACGTCTGCCTACTGCATCCGCGGCCCAGCAGCTGTTACTAGTCTTGCCTATATGCTTATGAAACTGTTTCATCTTTATTATAATAAGGCATTGCATTTTCTTAAGAGGAGTGGCCTACCTGCCCAACTTATGTGTTGTCATATTTATGAGGGAACACTTGATGATGGCTAGAGCAAGTAAAGTTGAATTATTTTGTGAAGCATGTTAAATATTTTCAATATTTGTTTCACAGCACCGACTGCGCTAACGGAGAGAAGTTGAACGAAGATAACAAAACAGAGGAGGTAAATTTCATTATTTTATTAAACACTGAAACAACGGTGCCAACATATTAGTTTGCTTTATACAAGTTTAAGAAATCGGTGAATAAGCTAAATGAGTTGCACCTTGATTTCGACCATGTTTGAGTGCAAAGGCCAGGAAGCACTTGTTAGAAACATAAACAGTGACTATATACAAATATCTAGGACTTGATAATACAAACTGTTACTAATTATTATTATATACTACTCCTGCAATTGAGGATCCTGACTCTGAACACTGCAACTGCAATCGTTTTTATTGACTGTTTTCCAAATGTTTGTGCAATTACGGTAGATGTTCCATTAACTATAGTTTGGAGTAGATGTAATTATTAGCATCAATGAGTAAATATAATTGGGTGTCATTTTTAAAGCTCTGTATGATAAAACATATTAGTCCAAAAAGTATGTAGGTAAATGGAAGTAGCATTAAACCAGTCTGTTCCCTCCATGTGATAACACTATTTATCCTCACTTTTTTAGGTTGCAGCTTATGGGATGGCAATGTAAGCTCTGCACATGTGTGGCTTCAGCGAAAGGGTCACTTCTCAAGCACTATCGATTGAAGCACGGTACCTTTGGAATCTGGGAGAAGATGCGAGTGCCTTGATCAAGGACTTTGAGGTTAGTACTATGGCTGAAATGATTCCTCAAGTAACTCGATTACTAAAAATTATCGGGCAGTGGGACAGACATACACGCACTCAGTCAAGCAGACAGACAGCGTGGCACAGAGGTAAGACCGAGGCCGATACAGATGTGCAGTGATCAGTTACAATTATAGTACCCTTATATGTGTAGCCCAGAAGACGTATACCTTTTTTTTTTTGAGTTCTTTGAAATAAAAAAACAATAATTATTAGTTTTTGCATTTCAGAAAATGGGTTCTTTAAAACTTAATGCACTAAATGGGTCTAGTTTTGACATATTATTGTATGCAATTTAAACAATAACAATGTGGATTTTTGTTGTTGTTCATTTTGAGAGGCCGGTCTTATTTTCTCTTTTCTATATTTACTATTGCTCTTTTAATAAAGCAAAATAATGTATTCTCCGATTAATGAATTCATCGTTAGAATACTCTATAGCTGCAGCCCTAGTTAGTACAATAGTTTTCAGGATTTTTAACAGTGTTAGTTTTGAAGTTTTAAATAATGTAATCATGGATGACTGATGACCATGAACATACATAGTGAGTGAGCAGTGAGGAATTGCTCTTTGTGTGTCTTGTAACATGCAGGCTGAAAGTAAGCACTAACCAGTTATCTTTTCAATGTCTGCAGGATGCTGCTGATGCACCTGTCAGTGTACAAGAGGAGTTGGCAGAGGAGGTGATGAAGATGTACCTGCTGCAGAACCAAGATGGGTCAGTCGATGAACCTACTGATGTAGGGATTGTGATTGAGGGCATCCCTGTCCTCAGAAGTCTTAGGGATCTTAGCAGAGCCTGCTGCTATCTGTTGGGACTAACCTATGCCTTGGATCTGAGATACCCCAAGAATCTCAAATATAGTTTTGAGGTATTCCAAAAACTACTGTTGGAGCTGGATCCTGGCAACCTTTCAACCAAGGTTCAGAGACTGAAAAATTGCCTGCATATGTAGTTGCCGACTACTGTTCAGCAAGATGCTAAAAGGTACGAGTTGAGAGTTCCATTGATTGAATTGCATTTTGGACTGGTATTGTTGTAAAGTGTCACTGTTCTTGGTGCATTTCAGTCATATGCAGAGTTCAGTTCAGCCCGTTGCTCCCATAGCTCAATGGAAATGTTCACATGCTCATTGGCAAAAATATACCATGTGCCATATGCTAAGATGTCTCTGCTGCAATTGGTCTTGTTGCATTTTACCCGTGTTTAAAAGGACCGCTTAGTTATATGCAGAGCTCAATTCAGCTCATCGTTTTTATAGCTTGGCCATTGTTACCAGGGCTCTCCCTTCTTAGTCGATTAGTTGACTTTATTTGTGGTTTTGGTCGATGAAGATTTCTTTAGTCAATTAGTAATATTTTAATGTATTTTTTTTCATGGTGAATGACTTATTTGTAAGAAACGTATATCTATGAGTGGCCGTTAGGGACATTATTCAGAAATACCGTTCACATACACATGTGAAGCACTCTCATACACACAACTGAAACCAAAATCATTTACAAACATGTAAAAATCTCTCATATACACATGTGAAACGCTCTCACACACATTAAACAATCTCTTATACACAAATGAAACGCTATCATATACACATGAAATGCGATTTCAGTATGTTGTGTGAGAGGGATTTCAGTTGAAACGGAAGGCATCTCAGTTGATAAAGGAAGTCGATTTCAGAAAAGCAAACACAATATTATGTCCGTTTGCGATTGTTCCATCATGTCTGCTCAGCAGCATGCACAAAGCTTAACTGAGGCAGCAGCGTTGTTAAATAATATCCTGGCCTCAGCGGGGTGCACAGTCTCTCCTAAGGGGAGCTGTAGTGGGCCGTTGCCTGCCGCGGGACGGGAAGAGGGACGATACATGGTGTTGAGGCCAGGATATTATTTAACAACGCTGCTGCCTCAGCTTTGTGCATGCTGCTGAGCAGACATGATGGAACAATCGCAAACGGACATAATATTGTGTTCGCTTTTTTTAAATTTGCGCTTCTTCGCTGTTTTTTTTAAACGACTTCCATTTCAACTGAAATCCCTCTCACACAACATATCGAAATCGCATTTCATGTGTATATGATAGCGTTTAATTTGTGTATAAGAGATTGTTTGTGTGTGAGAGTGCTTCACATGTGTATGTGAACGGTATTTCTGAATAATGTCCCTAACGGACCCTCATAGATATCTCTGGTAAACACAAGGATTTAAAGTGGTGTTTTTGTGTGATTCTTTGTGAAGAATATGTTGATTTAATCGATTAGTCATCAAATGTGTACGAGTGTTAGTCGACTAAGAATGTATTTTGTCAAGAACAGCCCCTAATTGTTACAAATGTAATATGCAAACTAAACCAGGTTGAGACTTAATGTGATGTGTTATACTGGTCAAATTTGAACAATAAATATGTAATTAAAATGTCAATGTGTACAATTGCTCTTTTGGTTTTATTAGATGTATTGACCTCAGGTTAAAAAAATAAGTAAATGTAACACATATATTTATATAATTAATAGTCCAGTTTTAATTAAATGTAGTTAAAAACATCGAGTAAATTTCACACATTTGTTTTGTTAAATAATAGTCTCCTTTTCAGTTACATCTACCTAGCATTTAAGTGATATCTACTAAAAAGAAATAGTGGTTTTGGCTTAGGGTTACTATTGCATTGACTTAGGATTTTAATTATATTTACTCAATTGTATATGTTATGGTACTAAATGTAGTTATTTAGACCCACTTGATTTTTTTACTTACATTTACTCAATTCATAAGGTAAATTTAAATGATTTCACAGCTTTAAGATTGACTCAATATTTTTAAGTGTAAAAATGTTTCACCAATTAAATTGAGTACATCATCGTTTTAGTTTTTTGAGTGTATACTAGCTTATTTCTAAGCTTATAAGTTCATAGTAGTTATTTAATTAAGTTCAACTAACATCATTTTTTAACCAATTTCACATTTACAATTTTATTGAGTTCAACCAACTATTTTTTAATAAGTTCATAATAGTTATTTTTATTGAGTTGAACCAACATATTTTTTATAAAATCATAATAGTATTTTTGTTTTGTTGAACAAACTTATTTTTATAAGTTCATAATAGTTTTTCTTTTGTTGAACCTATTTATTTTTATAAGTTCATAATAGTTATTAATTAGTTTGAACTGACAATTTATTTTTGATTCAACTCAATAAAATTGCTAATGTGAAATTCATTTCTAAATTATTTCTTTTTTTGTAATGTACTATGTCGTTTTTTTGCACATTTTCGACATTCTTTTTTTCAGATATTTTCAAAATACTATACTATGTTGTTTTCTTTCTCACATTTTTGGACATTCTTTTTTCTCAGGAATGTTATATTACAGAAACCTTTTTACGGCACTCTGTTGCCAAACATTGGCAAAACAAATCTTATATTATTATTAATGGGGATTTATGCATCAGGGGATGTGTGTTGTCCGACAGACAGTCAGACAGTGGAGTAGATTGTCGGCTAAACGCTGGTGATACATGAGCAGTGAACCTTTTATTTTGAAGGCGAGATTACGTGATTGACAGGAAGTTGTTGTGGCATTGGAAACAACTTGACGGAGAAAGTAATATCTTCTATGTAACGGCGGCGAAAGAGAAGAACGGACTGTATGTTTAAATGTTAGCACCCCCCGAAGAGGCTCAAGCTCTTACGTTGGGTCTGGAGTTTAAATAAATTCTAATTCATCAGTAAAGCCTACGACCATTATTCGGAGGGAAATGCTACAGGCTTTATACTAAGTGAGGACCATCCAGTTAGGCTATACAGTTTGCAATGATGAGTCCTATAGGGTGCATTTGATATATATCGCAGTGCAGCATGGTAGAGTGGGTCAAGTTTGGCCAAAACAGTGGGACAGGCAAATCTATAAATTGTATCACCATAGTCAAGCTGGGACAGGAATAAGCCAGAGACCAACCTTTTACGGGAATAAGTTGAAAAACAACATTTCAGTCTGTAAAGGAAGCCAAGAGTGAATTTCAATTTCTTAGTTAGAACTTCAATGTGGTGTTTAAAGTTTAGATTTCTGTCCAACCAAAAGCCCAGATATTTGTATGTATCGACAAACTCAACGGAGACGCCATCAAGGGTGTCAATGGAGAGGCAAGAGGACGCTGACTTGGGAGCAAAAAGCATTGCTTTGGTTTTCTTATTGTTCAATAGCAGTTTAGAATCAAGAAGTGCATGCTGGAGCGTGATAAAATCTGATTTTAAATTGGAAACGGCCATATCCAGAGAAGGAGCACATAAGTATACAATAGTGTCATCAGCATACATATGATAGGTAGAAAATTGCATCTGATTACAAATATTGTTTACATATAATAAAAAAGAGCAAGGGCCCCAAAATAGAGCCCTGTGGAACTCCCTTCTCCAAGGTGACAGGGTCAGAGACAGTACTACCCAACCTGACGCATTGAGTATGGTCGGTTAGATAACTCTGAAACCAGCAAATGGCGTTATGACCGAAACGAGACACCAACATAACATTAGACAGAATGTGGTGATCTACAGTGTCAAATGCTTTGGCTAAGTCAATAAACAATGCAACACAAACATTTTTTTTATCCAAAGCAGCCTTAATATCGTCTAAGATTTTCAGACTGGCAGTCACAGTACTGTGCTTTGACCTGAATCCAGATTGCATAGGGTTAAGGATGTTGTGTGAATTAAAAAAAAGTTTTAGCTGAGCAGAAACTAGGGACTCAAGAATCTTTGATAACACAGAAAGATTTGAGATAGGACGATAGTTATTCAACTCAGTGGGATCTCCAGCTTTCAAGAGGGGCGATACAAGATCTTGCTTCCACACAGCTGGCAGTGTGTGAGTGGACAGGGAGAGATTAAAAATATCAGTAACTGGTTGTGCTATAATCTGAGCTGCAATTTTTAAAAAGAAAGGGTCGAGGCCGGCAGGCCCGGCAGACTTTTTAGGGTCAATTTAGTGCAAACTGTGTAAGACTTCAGAGACCCAGAAAGAAGCGAAATCAAAAACAGGGGAGTTCATCTTTACTATGGCTGTGAGTACGACCATGCAGAGAGTCATGACTTTGTTCATCAAAAATGTGACCAGCCTTTTTGAAGTGAGCATTAAAGGCATTAGACATATCATTTGTATCTGAAATAAAATAATCACTTTTGTGAGAAACTAGAAACCTTCTTGTTCTGAAGTGATTTAATTGTTTTCCAGAACTTAGAATGGTCATTAAAACAATCAGTGGTTAAGCTCAGATAGTAATCAGCTTTAGCTTTTTTAATAAGGGCTTAACATTTATTTCTGAGGACACGAAAAAGAAGCCAGTCATCAGTAGTGTTAGACTTTCTAGCTAAAGACCATTGCTTATTTCGATCATGAATGAGATCAGATAGTTCTCTAGTAAACCATGGAGTGTTCCTATTCTTAACTCTGAATTTTCTAAGGGGGGCATGTCTATTAATAATCGATAAAAAGTGATCAATAAAGAATTGGACAGCAACATCGACAGATGGAATTAACGCTATGAAGTGCCATTTAACCTCCGCCAGATCATGTAGGAAAGCCTGCTCAAAGAAGTGTTTGAAGCAGCGCCTGAGCACAATAAGGCCCTTGGCTTTGGGCAACTTCGTGCTCCTAATGCAAGCAATAGTGCAATGGTCACTGATATCATTAGGAAAAACACCAACAGACACATACTTATGAGCTGCATTTGTTAGAATGACATCTATAAGGGTATCGTTATTGGGTTTGACAGGGTTTATTCTAGGGGGACTATCAATAAACTGAGTTAAAGTGCACCTGTAATGCTATTTGTAGGCAATAGCATAGGTTTCAGATATATACAAATATATAAAAAACATGTCTATGAAGTGTTTTGCTCAAAAATACCAAACAGATCACCCATTCTAGCCATGCTTCATATCCCTCTATTTCACTTCCTGTTTCAAAAGTGCTGATTTTGGGTATAAAGCTTTTTTTTAAATGTCCTGCTTCTTCACACACATGCTCTGTGCAGTACAGGTTAGCTCTGAGTGTTAGCGATGCTAATGTAAACACCGACCATATTACGTCCAAAACAGTCGGGCATTGTTTCTGATAGCAACTTTCTGATAGTGCCGTGGGT